TATCTTTATCAAAATACTGACTAATATATCTGAATATATTCTCTAGTTTTAATTACTCTCTCTAGTTGGTAAATGCTTTTAGCCTTGTCCTTCATAAGGTTTAGCACAAACATGGTGCTATTTATCATCGTATTTAGGAATTTTCTTTCTGTTAACTTTGATAGGTAAAATAATAATATCGTAGTTGAATTGCATTCTTCGTTTTTGCTTTTGGTGTAAATCTGAATATATATATATATATATATATATATATATATGACTCCGAGTTTAGATGTTCTACAATCCTTGTAAGAAGAGCAAGGAGGGTACATTTCATAGGTTTTTTCCTGATGGTAACACCTATTTTTGGATGTCAGCACAATCTTTGTGCTGGTGTTTTATATTAATATACAGAAAATGTTACCTTCTCCAAAAAAAAATGTTAGAGAAAGTAGTCTATCTTTATTGCTTAGATTAATCCTTGACTTGGAGTTAAAAGAATGTTAATTAATCGGGTCCTTTGGTTCACAGCTCACTAAATTGATCTCATCCAAAATTTTACCCCTTCTATTTGCTCCAAAGAGTAAAAACCAAGAAAATAGATCGTTCTCCAGCTCAGTTAATTGATTAGTTGTAGATTTTAGTAAAAAAGACACCTATATCCAGGATATTTTCATGAATCATCCCAGCTATATAACTAGAGTTTGCTTCATTCTGAACCCATTGATAGAGAGACAGAATAAAGATCTTATCAGATTGAGAAAATAGAGCTGTTTCTAGTGCTTCACACATGATAGGAAAAATAAAAAGAAATAAAATAAAATTAAAGTTGAGTAGAATAGCCCCTTCCATGTAAAATGGTAAGATGGTAGTAAGGAACATAGAAAAGTCTCATATGCGTGCTTTTCCTCAATCTTGAGCAGTTGGTGTGTTTACTCAATCTTGAATTAGGCAACAACCAACTCATGTCTTGCAATATCCAAAATTTAAAAGTTTGGGAATATATTGTTCCTCCACTCAGACTGAATTCCTTTATTCAAGCATTAGGTTCTGATTATTTAAAAAATGGCAGGGTATGATGCCATGTCCTTTTGGCAGTTGCACAATACATTTAGTAGTACAAGTAGCATGCCCAAGGTGCTTTCCTTCTAATGATGTTACCTATTTTAAGGAAGAGGGGATGCTGTACTTGACAAAATAACAGTCCAATTATTTAGGATCACTATTTATCGATAGACCCCGATTGTGATGGAGCAGTTATCCTCTATCTATGTGGTGTGAGGTTATGGACCAACTTTAAGAAATTTTTGTGTCAGTTCTATGGTATAAATTGAAAACTTTATACTTCTGATGTAGGATTGTTACATTCCTTAGAGGATAACATCTCCTCCCTTTAACCCCTCAATATCTAATGAAATTTCTTACTGAATGCCAGCTACTAGTTTGGACCAAATAATAATTCAATCATATAACATCACTGCTTCTCGGCAGACCCCGATTGTGATGGAGCAATTATCCTCTCATCCATGTGGTATTAGGTTATCAGCCAATTTCAAGAAATTTCTTTTTCAGTTTTGGGATATAAATGGAAAACTTTATACTTGTTCTGATGTAGCACTGTACATTCCTTAGAGATAACTTCTCCTCCGTTCTTCGCCACATTTAGGTAGTGCTTGCACCAAATCATGCGTCTCAACAAGAACTAACCAAGTAAATGACTTTCGTTTTGATAAATTTATATTAATTCTCATGCCCTTGTTTTCAAGAGGACAACACTAAACGATAATGTAGCAAGTAGAATTTTATATTAATTGTTAAAAGAACCCACTAAAAGAGAATGTTGTTATTAGGAACAGGAAATTATAACTTTAGTATAAGAAAGCTAGTCATCAAATCTGAAGTAAAAGCTAAAACTACATCTTTGCATCTGAATAAAAAATTTAATGTGGTTTCGCTTCCTAATTGACATGAATCATTTTACATAATTTCACTTAGTTGTAGGTTTTTCCAATTCTTTTATCTATATAATTGTTTTCTTGTGTGTATAATTATTTTTTCTTGCATTATACACACGTGCACGTGCATTCATGTACACACGTATCAACTTTTCATCATCCGCGGTGTTATTATCTAAAATGTGTGCTTTAATTGCTTTTACGCTTTAAGCGTTAATGGAATTTGGCGTTTTTGGCAGTTTTTCACCATTGACAAAACTGGTGAAACCTTTAGGTTGCAAGCTCCATCCTTCCAAAGTGTTAACAAGTTTTGGTATGCAATCATTTATTGACAATTTTGGTGACATAGATGTAAATGGTAGATGGATTAAACTTAATTAGTGGTGAAGTTACATCTAAATATTGTTTTTGTCTTCATTTAAAATAAATATTGTTTCTGTAACTTCAACCCAGCATTTTGGTTGTCCTAAAGAGAATCCTCCTAGTGATATCTATGTCAAACATATAGTTGGAGATAGACATGGATGTCCGTTGTTATCTAGTATGGTTAGGATGTCTGGGTTATTCCCAGGTTTCCCGGGTTCGAATCCCGGCAACGGAATGAGATTCAGAAGTGTGTATTGGTGTAGCTAGTGTGAATTAGACGTGAAAAAAGTAAATAAGAGAAGTTGTAAATATTTTGTGGACTGTTATCAACTGTCATTTTGCATTTTAAATTTACTATGAGATTATGAATTTTTTTTGTGCAGAGGTGGGCCATTATTAGAAAACGACAGGGAACCATGGTCGGGAATGGCTCGCAGCTTTCAGAGGCTCAGCTGGCAACTCGTCGGGCAATGTCACTGGCTCTTAATATGCCTATGGGAGATAACTTAAAAGCTGCTTGTCCCATCAGCGTTAGCGGTAATTCTCTCAACTCCTCTATGATGTAAATGTATCTGTTACCACACTCCTGATGGGAGAAGGAAAAGGTTGAGGTTTAGGGGGAGGATAGTTATTGATACTGTCTAGAACTCTGCATTGGGTGTGTCAGATGGCTGAGAGTATCCTCTGATAATCGGAATGTATGTTGTCGTTTACAGTATCTGTTGTCTGCAAAGGGTTAATTAATTATTCAATTGTTCAATGTTTTTTTTTTCCTGGAACTGCTCATTGCTCAACGTTCATTAGTTAAGAAGTTTCAGTTGTTCAAGAGTCTTTAGAAGGTCTGAGTCCTATATTCCAATTAATATTGTCTGCATGCAAAATACATATAAAAGATATTGCACATTGATCTAGGAAAAGCAAAAATTCCAGTGGATTAGGAGCAATTTCTCTTTTCAGCATGGCTGAGTTATTTGAATGGGTGGAGAAAACATGGGAACTCTTTCCTTCTTAACCTTGTATATCGTTAATGCCATTCTTGCATACAGCAGTTTTAACCCAGGTTATTGTGTTGTTTCAGTGGGGCAAAATTCAGGCGCTAGACCTAGTAACTGTTCACATTCTGTTGTTGCTGACTTTGCATCTGTTGGTGCACAATCCCAGCATCAGCAAGATCCATTGTCGTCAAAACCTCGGATAGTTCCAAAAAAGCCATTGCCAAAACCTAATACGAGCCCAGATTCAATGGTCAAAGTTGCTGCTGTGGCTGCAGGTGCCCGCGTTGCTACCCCTTCAAATGGTGCCTCATTGCTCAAGACAGTAGAGTCTAAATCTGCTGTCCAATTACCTGGAGGAGGTCCAGCAGTAAAATCTCATGTCCCAGTTAGTACAAATGGCTTGCCCAGTAATGTGCACTTTATTCGTACCGGCCTGGTGTCCCATTCCACAGTCCCATCAAATGCCTCACGGCCTGGAACTCAACAAGTGCTTGGCCACTCTTTGAAACGTGTATCACCGGCATTTCAACTTAGCCCAGCTGGTACTTCATCTAGACCAAATGCTTCAGCTGCACCTAATGCTCCAATATGTGCTCCAGTTGCTGAGCTTGACGATACTAAGCAAAAACTTCTACAAAAAAGTCAAACTACCGCTCTGTCTAGTGCACAAAGTGAGAAACAAGTAGGAGTTGTAGGTGCTTCTGGTGATAAAGCACTACCACCACAAGGCCAACAAGAGAAACTTCCTGCATCAAGCAACCCGTTGATAGAAAAAGTTGAAGATCAGACTTTATCATTCAGTGATGAAGTAAAGTAGCATAGACAAGAGGATCAAGATTCTGTTCCAGGCATTCAGGTTCAAGAAAAGTTAATAAATGATACAAGTAAGCCTAGTAAGGCACCAGCTAGAACTGAGAATGGGAGTGCTAATGGAGGTGATCTCAATAAGGCACCAACTAGAACTCAGAATGGGAGAGAATGAAATGGAGTGACTGGGTTGGACCAACTATGCATGTAAAGTTAGATTCATGTTAATTATTCTTATCTACCTTTTGGTAGTTTGGCTTTCTTCCTGCTTCTTTAATGTAAATGTGTAGGTTTCTCCTAGGTGTTGTCTATACTTGGGTAACAAATTACAGTTCCTTGATATTCCTTTGTCAATTATTGATTATCTCCATGCATTATTATTTCGTTATCATGATTATCTTTTTCGCAAATTGTGCAATCTTATATTAAAGAGACTATGGCACTAACTAATTTTCTTTTTTACTTGCGAAATTGGTTAGATTTAGTCATACGTACAACGTAGTTGAGCTGTTTAGACAACCACACTAACTTATTTATCTTATTTTGCTGCACTTCTCTTTGTTGTTTTCCTTTTTGAATTAAGAAGGTAAAAAGTAAAGTTAGCTCAACTGGTACAAGCTTCTTTTATTGAGATCCTTGTTCTCTTCTTTTAGTCTTGAAAAAAACGGGTAAAGGACAACATTTGCCAGTCATATTTTTGTAAGTACCACTTTTGAGTAACTGCAGCTCTTCTATCTTGCTCCCACTTAAATGCAAGGTTCAAACACTTCATATGATGCGTCATTACAAATGAACCAAAGCCCTGGACGCAACTACATAGTCTTGAATGTTTGAGCGCAAAGAGACAGAAAGTCCAAAGATTAGTAACATTAATCAGCAGAGGCATTATTCTTACTAATAACATTTGAACTTCCCATTTATTTCAGTCAGAAATAATGAAACTGCATATTCACAATGACATCATACTTGCTAATAACATCACATGTATCCAACTATTATCAAGGACAGATAGAGATATTGACAACTGGATGAACCTATTCACAGATATATTTACATCAAAGAATATTACAAGCATAATCACAACTTAGCTTTCCCTTCCAATTGTCTTTCTTTAGCCATCATTCTTCTCTTCTCCTTCCAGCCAGTTTCAAATCACAAATTTAAACCAATCGGAGGAGGCAAGTAGAGATTTCTTCTTCTGAACTAAAAGCAGAGACACAAAGTACGGTATGATCATTGATGTACCTAACGAGTTCCTAGACGATCCCTTTTTACAGGTTTATTTTCATTTCACTCCTAAGTCGATATTTAAGCTTGTAATAGGTAACAAAAAACAGCTAAAGTTTGATCAATCTGGAGGGGCAGCAGCAAAGAAATCGAATCAACTCAGCTATTGCAGTATGTCAGCTGTACCGCAAAGATGAGAGCCACTGCTCCGTATACTTCTTATTCTCTGCATGTAAAAAACGAAATCAATAAGCATAATGTATGCAGAACACAAAATTAAGAACTAAGCCAGCAACTATACCACTATTTAATTCTTTAGACATTTGTTTTTGGTTTATCCCATGTCTAAATCAATGCATCATTCATTCAAAAAGTAAAAAATGTCAAGAATTGGAAGGAAACAAAAGAGTGGAAATCATAATGCTAGACCAGAAAATGGTTACATTTCAGAATAATAAAAATTTCAAATTGGCAGTCCTGTAATGGCTAATGAACAGAGTTGCACAAAAATGTGAAGTCTTCCGATGCCAAGAAAGTAAAGATATGTACATCCAGTGGCGGATCCAGAATTTTTAAGTCATGGGTACTGAACTATTATTTATCTGAAAAGTACTATTAAGACTGGGTGCTCAAGTAATATATTTGTAGGAATTACTAACTTTTTTATATCAATAATTTTCATGACTCCAAAAGTAATGGGTGCTTGAGCACCCATAACCATCAACATACATCCGCCACTGTGTACATCTCAACCAGTAAACAGAACCCCTGCTATCCTATAACTGGCTTGTTAATGATCACATAGACTCTACTAACTGAATATGGTACTAAATACTTCTCAACTGATCAAGCCATGTAGGACACAGGAAAAAATCTAACTTTTAATTTCAAAACAGAAGTAAAAAGGGGCAAAGATCGGAGTAGTGTAGCACACAAGATACGGTGCTAGATATGAGTCACACTAATGTATAACAGGTTATTAATGAGAAATTCATTCTGGAGGTGTGCTGCATTAATGAGTTAAGATTACTCATTAATAATCATCATCAACCCTACCACCAATCCTTGCCCTTCCCTCTGAAAACAACAAGGGGAGAAAAGAATCTTGAACTCATTCTAATTTCTCTAGATTAGAGGACCTATAGGAAATGAAAAATAAAAACCATTCAATAATATAAAGAAGGCCAACCAAAGCAACCTCATTCAGTCACCACATTACATGAAAGGAAGCTTTCAGCAATCTTAACATTCGGAGCTTGCACTAGATCTGCTAGTTATACTTTCAGCACATTAACAAAGCGGAAATGGAGCAAAAAGCAGGAAAGCTCAATTCATCAATTTCTAAGCATGAAACAAAATGTTGACTCTCGGTTCAAAATTTTGGTTATAGCAACGGGAAGTTGACAGAACCTTCAAAAGGTAAAAGTCCGTGTTTTATCTGGTTTTTGCCCAAGCAGCCACTAGTTTCAACATCAATGTATATGTTTCTCATAGAATTACTTAGTAAGCCATTAGCAGCTAGCAGCATATTATCAAGTGGAAAGAATTCTTTATCTCAGGAGTTTCATATACTTCAAATACGTGGTATCTGTCTGAGACGAATATAAATTTAACTATCTGAAACGAAAAATATATAATTGGTTCTGTTGCACCAAAGAGAAACTAACAAAAGCAGAAGTTGTATTTCCAAATAAAAACAGAATATCTCTGGAAACTGACTCTTACCAGAAGCATGTATATCCTTGAAGTTTCGAATGCCCTGCAGAAACTTGTCTTGTGCATTATCTTCCATGTTTGCGCGTCCACGTCCATAGCAAGGAACAAGCACAGCAAAACTATCATCTCTATTTTCATCACTGTGGAACTCCGGGCCATGAGGCTCCAACCATCCAATGGACCAGTCTGAATCATCAGACTCGGACCCTGATACACATCCACCGTCCGATGGCACAAGAACAATATCATACTCCCTATCAATCTTGCGCTCCTCTCGACTCTGCCATTTTCTCTTAACCCTTCCAGATGAGGAGGCAATATTCCGAGGGAACTTCAAAGTATCCAATTCCAACATCCCTGAATCAGGCGATGAATTTAAACAAGTCCCTTTCGAGATTTTTGGTTCTTGATGCTTTCCACTCCAAAGCCACCATGACAAAGGGGTAAATGCCAAGGCCATGTCTTACTGAATCAAGAAATTTCTTGAACCCAAAAAGAAATCAAATTCTGAGACTGTTGAGTTTTTGAACAAAACTGTTGGCAGATACAAAGAATCAGGATAATGACAATTGAAGGTACTAAATATGTTATTTGCTCCTGTTCCAAAGAAATTCAGGTAGTTAGAAGATGAATACAATGAAAATGATACAAACAGTGTTAACACAGCATGTTATACAATTGAATGACCAGCAACAAATTGATTTTTCTTTTTAAGTTCATCAATTTTCAATACAGCAAGAACAATAATAAAGACATGGAACACAAATAAAGTGACATTTTAGTCCACTCATTATGACTCATAATGTTGCCATCTTTGTGATAGAAGATGGTATATATCACCATTTTTTTTTAATTACTAAAAACATTCTAAGAAAATTAAAGCTCTTCCCTTTTTCCTCCTTTTCTTTTTCTACTTTCCCATAGCAATAAATCAGTCACTATAATCAGCTAGTAGCAAAGGTTTATAAGAAATTATAATATACCCCCTAGAAATAGGTCCTCATAGCAAATTAGAACCAGATATTTTGACCCTATTAATTAGCTCAATATTTTTTTTTTGAATTGAAATTTAGCTCAATTTTCAGGAATTGTACAAAGTGGTGTTTCACAAAAATAAGAATTAAAATTCCAATTTCAGCCAGTCAAACAAAAACCACCAAATATAAAGGAAGTACAAGGAAAAAAAATCAAGAGTCCCAGTAAAGATCATAGCTTTGCAATTAGCTGTGCTAAAACTACTCATAAATAAACAAACAAAAATCGTTAAAAGATTCAAACTTTGGATACTAATAAATCCAACCAAAAAGAAAGCGACTTTAATCAGAAACCCAGTAGAAAAAAATCATAGCTTTGCGATTAGGTAAAAATCTTCATAAATAAACAAAATAATATTTAAAAAAATGAAAGAAAGCCTTTTTGAGAGTTCCAATATGGGTATCTTATAAAGAACCTTAAATATTCCTTCTCTATCAAACTTCATAAGTCGATCAAAAGTTTCAGTTGCAGAAAAAGAAAAAAAGAATTCTGCATACATATTGAAATACTTAGACCAATATGTATACCTGCTAAGCCTGAATTTACATGTAATTCTAACAGGAGTCTTTTCTTCCTTTTTCTTTTTTTCCTGTTTTATAAGGAAAAGGGGTCTTTTTTCTTTTCAATTTGAAGAAAAAAAAATAGAAATAGGAATAGACAGTTTTCTTGAACGTTTGTGATAGTTTCCTTCAAGTATCCAACCACCAAACCTGAAGCTGAGTCTATATAAAACACAGCTTAAGTTCTGAATTTAGAAAGGGCAATTATTCTCTGGTTTAAGGTACAGGTGAAGATGGTGGAATTGATTTTTTGTTGATCAGGAATGAGGGTACAATTGTCTTTGTGGAATTATCCGAGGGTAGTTCTTGAATTTTAAAAAAAGTGTGTATTGATTGGATATGAATATGATTGGTGAGCAAGCAACTGAAGAAAGATAAGTCAAATTAAAAGAAAAGTGCTGCCAGGTCAGACGACATGCCACGGTGGCAGTGGGACCAGGAGCTAGGATAACGTTGCTTGTCAATTTCTTGTGTGTGTGGTTCAAGTAATTTGGCCACTAGTTAGCTAGTTGGACCGAACAGTAGGCCTCTAATGTCTTAGTTGTACCAAGAAAATAAAAATAATTCATCTGTTCTTAAAAAATAATGAACAAATTCGGAGTATAAAGATTAAATTTCCTAATTGTTTGTCTTTATTTGGACACAAATTTTTATTTTTTTCTAAAATCAAATTTATTTAATTAAAAGTCAAATAAAAGTATTACTTATAAGTTACAGATTTTAATAATAAACAGCATTTTATATACAAAAATTTTGGTAAGTGGCTCTAATGTTGCTGTAAATGGGAAAGGTAAATCTAGTTTAGTTAAGGACAACACGAGTTACTTGAGTACAAATCAAACTAGAAGCCTAGTTGTTGTTGGCCTACTTTTGAAAATGCCTCCATGTTTGCCTCTCATAAAGAAATGTATACAGTTGTTAGATTGGTTAAAGCATATAATGGACAAAGACAATTCTATCAAGACAGTTTGAGAATTAGTACAATTAGGTTTACATTTATGACTTTCTGTGTTACCTTTGATTACGGTTAACTTCCAAAAGACAATACAGCAATGATACGTAGGAGCTAGGTGTGCATTGGTTCTAATTTTGCAATTACCAAATCAAACCAACTGTGTCGAGTTATTAGATCTAAAGACCAAATCAAGTCAATAAAATTCGATCGAGTTTTTTAATCTCGGTTTTTCGGGTTATTCGAATTTTTTTCCGGTAAAATCTTCGTAGCACAAAACATATAACTTGTGCTCAAAATATTTCTTTAATCCTAGTAAGATACAACTATATAAGGTATTTTCCAAAAAATTAATACAAAAGATGTGTCATGCCATTATCCTAAAATATTCAACAATAAAGACAATAAAATTATGTAATATAAATATTGCTAATTAAAAAGCCATAATAAAAATAAACATAATCTAAGTACTAAGTCATGTCAAAATAAGTAGACTAATAAAAGAGTATTAATTACATGGCTAAACGCTAAAGAAAAAATAAAAATAGGTTATGCATTTTTGTCTAAATTATTGCAAAACAAAAAAATAGATATTCAATATATTGCCTTCTGTAGTATTGAATTGAATGTCTTTTGTTAGCATTAGTATTGATTTGATTTTGATTTGGGCTTTTGTTAGCATTATTTAAGTTACTAATATTAATATCTATAAAACTTATTAGAACATTCAAAAGTTGTAAGTCCAACCTTGAAATAATACCTTAAAAGATAAAATTCTGAAAAACTTAAGAAATATTTATAAATTACATCACAATAAGTATATTTATATATTAAATATATCTAAAATTTCTATATATGTAATGTCGTGTTGGTTTGGTTTCGATTTGACTTTCTTTAGTTAAAACCAAACCAAACTAATTATGATCGGATGTTTGTTCCAACGCCAAACAAAATCAAACCAAACTATAGACGGATTTTTTTTCTCGATTTGATTCAGATTATCGGATTCGTGCGGTTTGTCGGTTTCCTTTGTACATTCCTGATAGGAGCAGTGGCGGAGGTAGGATTACCACCAAGGGAGTCCAAAAAAGAAAAAAAAGTTAGAAAGGTCGTAACTAGTGGGAATAAAATCAATGACCTTACAAAGATTTTGAACCCTCTTAATTACTAAGTTATGCTTTTGGGTTGTGTTAGGGAGATTCAAAACATAATATATAGAGGTAAAAAATAAATTTTACCTTTATATACAATGTAATTTTCTAACAAAGAGGGTTCGAGTGAATACCCTTCCCCCCTAAATCCGCCCAGGAGAGCTTCGAACCATAAACTAATGCGTAAAAAACAAAAAGAATTAAACTACATATAGTACATGCATACTATGACGGCCGTTTTTTTTTTTACTTTTTTTTGTGGTAAAAAAAATGCTTAATGCTTGGTAACATGCGCTACGCACACCAAGTATATTTAATGTTGTAAACAAAATATTGGTTGGTGCATTGGTTAATTGGCAAGTGCAATGGTGGCCATAACCTTTGTATCGGTGAGTTCGATTTTAGCCTTTCACAATATTATTTTTTATTCAGTTTTTTTTTCTTTTTCTTTTTCTTTTTTCATCTCTTATAATTTATGGAAGGCTACAATTGAACTCACGACACAAAGGCTATAGCCATCATTCGACTTCGCCACTTAACCAATGCACCAACCAGCACTTTGTTGCTCATATAAAATATTAAATATACTTGGCGTGCATAGCGCTAAATAAAGTTGTATTCCCAATTCTAAACCTCCTCCCTAAAAAACAAAAAAAAAGAGAAAATTGTATTGGCGGAAAAGAGGCATGACATGTGGACTATCATCAAAGTGACAAGGGCATGACACGTGGATCCACTACAACCAATTTGATTTATAGTAACAAATGTCTTTGTCACTAAAAGGCTTTATTTCGTCACTAAATATCTTTTCTGACCAAATTTTTTTCGTCAATTCTTCGTAGCCATAAATGGGTCACTAAAAGTTTACAAAGACGATTTAGTGGTTCGTCGCTAAATGACGTTACATTAGTGACAAATTTATTATTTTGTCCCCAAATATATTAAATCAGTGACGAATTTGTTTGTCAGAAAAACTTCAACTTTTTTGTAGTAGAAATAACTTTCGTCACTAAATAAATTCTTAATACCGACGAAACAAATTTATCACTAATTTTTATCTTGATTAGTGACAATTCTAATTGTCTCTAAAGTGGTATCTAATTTGTAGTTGAAAAATGTGATTTTGTCACTGAAGATATGCAAATTTTAAAGAAAAAGATTATCATTTGTACACAAAACGTTTTCGTCCCTAAATGTATGAAATTAAAGACAAATTTGTTTGTCTAGAAAATTGTAACGATTTGTGACCGAAAGGTATTTGGCGATGATTATATAGGTTTTGGTACTATTTGCCATTTTTTAGATAAATAGATTATTTTAATATTTAGAATTTATAAATAATAATGAATATTCTATAATTGAATATAATACATTTTTTGCAAATTTTAATGTTTATAGGACAAATTGTTAAAAACTGCAGAATCTTTATTTCTCATAGAGGATTAGTTACAATATTTGGGATTATGGGAATACAAAGATGAGGATTAAAAATATATACACAAAAATATGAGTAGAGGAGTAAAAACATGACATTTACCCTGTATATTACAAAGATTTCAGTCTCAAATCCCCAACTAACATAAAGAAACTGCATCTAACACTTAATACATTCACCATTTCTCAATTTAATATCTTTAGATTCTTGAACATCTTTTTTTACTGCATAGTTTCTTTTTCTGTTTGCCACGGATCTCTTCTTGCTTGGCTCTGTCTCTCGCCCATGTTTTGGCTTGAAAAGCCTCATATTGGTGAAGGCATGACCTTGTTTGTCAGAGAAAAAAGATAGTCAAAGACATGACATCAACAGAAAAACATAGAAGACTAACGAGTTTAAATAAAAAGAGAAGAAAGACAAACCTATAGATCTTTCGTGAAACCGTCAATGGTGGCAGAGTTTTGAAGAAACATAGTCACTTTTTTATTAGAGAGAAGTCGAGAGATGTGAAACTGTAAATCAGTCTACAGTTTTAATTTGTGGGAATGAGCATTTGATCCATGATGAGTATCTTTATGGATTGATTCTGTTTCATTTCCTTAAGTTTAGGGATATTAACAAGAAAATGAGCCGATTATCTCGTCCACTTTGTTATGCTAGTTATTCTTACTTATCTAGCATTTTTATTTATTTGACGAAAAAAATTTAAATTGGTAAAAGAATCAAAAGAGAACTACATAAAGTAAAAGATCAATTTTCAAATTCTATTCAAAATTATACGTTAAGGCCGAAATTTCTATATTTTGCAAGAAGCCTTAAAACAATACTTTTACGTAATTCCCTTTTAAAATTCTTTTGATTTAAGAAAATCAAACATTATGTTTTCTAAAAAAGATACAGCAAAAAAAAAAAATCAAAAGTTCCTTAGTTTTTTTTTTGTTTTGAAATTCCTTAGTTTGTTTATTTGAACATAACATTATGAAAAATAGAAGAAAGTATCATTTATTTTCAAAGAATTTTCCTCTTTTCTTTTTCAACTAGTATTAGTACCCGCACGGATGCGCGGACATTAATCATGTCAAATATTTAAGTTATTTGAATTGTATGTAAATAATCTTAAAATTTACACTTTCTCAGTAAATATAGATAATCATTGGATATTAACTACATGAAAAAAATTAACCATTTCTTCTATTTTTCTTTTTTGATACAATTCTTGCCGATGTCATTGGATCCTAAAAATAGTTAGGAAGTAAAATAATAACTCATATTTATGGCAAAACAATCAAATGTTGAAACAATGAACGACTCTTTGGATAAGACTTAACTCTTTTACTACTACTTGAACTCTTATTTGGTGTGTTGATATCTCTTAAAAAATATTTCTTTCTTAAATTTCAGTTTCTAAAATATTATTTTTTAATAGTAATTATTTTTATAATAATGTAATTGAAAATATTATTCTTAATTCAAAACTCATTTTAGTTGGCTATCTAAAAATATAAAAAATTCTTTAGCTAGTGAATTATTTTTACTCCATTTTAATATTTGACATTAAGCATATTAAATATCTGAGTTATTTGAATTATATGTAAATAACC